TGTAGCAGCTTACACATTGTCTTGTGTGAGGGCAAAGATACTGCTATATAGACGCTCCTAACCTGATTTTGTAACTAATAAAGCAATAAAAAATCAGCTATATGAACACGAGTCCACCGATCCTGCAGAAGTGTTCACACTCTGATAATGGCTTTTGTAAGTGGAGAAATATCTGCTAACAAAAACTGATGCTGCTTTATGCCAGACATGTATAGCAGAAAAACTGAATAAGCGTGGAATAATCGTTTCTGTTTGTTGCTTCCCTTTTAACACTATCTTGTTTCATCAAAGATTTCTGACAGAAATACTTAATAAGGAATGAAAATTGTGCAAATCATCTCCAGTCTCTCTCACATGCTTTGTAGGCACACCTGTTTTCGAAGGGCATCTGATATTAGGCTATTAAAAGAGATTAATTTGCACAAACAAAAAAGAAGAGTTCGAATTATGAGTTTCCAAAGTCATTTTATTTCAAACCAAGCCAGAGAAACCACACATTTAATGGAAATCAAAGGAAACCAGTAAATTAATCAAAATTTGTGATTATATAACAGGAGACATAACATTTATAACAGTGACGGGAGAAGCAATGCTTTTTGAAACGTCTATTCAATCGAACCAGTTGCTTCACAAAATGAATCAAAGCGCTGGAATCTCCGCATCTGCTGGGTAAAGTCACGAAAATGCATTCTTATAAACTTTTATTAATTTAAAGCTGCAGTCTGTACATTTTGTCTCTTTATCACCATCTCTGTTTGAAACCTGCAATTGCAGTTATTTGCGGAATTATCATCTTTGCGTGGGTTGTGCACCGCAACGGCTCCAGCACGGATGAATCTGATGTTTTGAGGTGAATGTGCAACTCGTAAAATACGTACGATTTAGCACAAATCGTATGAATTTGTACGAGTGAGGTCATATGAATTCGTACGAATTAGCCATCTCGTAAAATATGTACGAATTGCTGTGAGATCGGGCTGAAAATACATACGATTTAGCACAAATCATATTAATTTGTACGAGTGAGGTTGTATGAATTCGTATGAATTAGCCATCTCGTAAAATATGTACGAATTGCCGTGAGATCGGGCTGGTGGCTGTCAGTCACCGCACCGGTGTGGATACTGTACTTAGGAATCACAGATTATAGCCTACGTCTAGGAATATATTCGGGTCTTATCGAGTCTATTTGAAAAAAAAAAGCAAATTTATTTTAAAGTACCCGAGACCAGAGGCCGCTAATACCGATCCCGACCGGTGTCTGAGGCACTCTTAGAAGTTTTGGACCCGAACCGGCTCGGGTCTCGGGTCGGACCTTGGGTTTTCGGATCCAAGTGGACCCGTGAAGACCTCTAGCTGTCAGTCACTGTACTTGTACATACACTTAGGAATCACAGATTCTAGCCTACGTCTTGGAATATATGACCCAAATAAGAAATTTTCACCGGATATTGTCATCTGAACAAGTAAGTAACAAGTCTGCCACTTTTGTTCTGACCAACTGAGGAAAAAAGCATTACAATACATCGCGCTACCAATTGTGATTAAAACTCTAACAATCACTTAGCTCATATCACATAAAACCGTGCAAATTACTATTATTGTTATACATTTTTGTCAAATTGTTAATGTTAACAACATCAGCATTGCGTGACTATGTGTGTATTAACGTGTAGATTTCAATTTCTGTATAGTCTAATCTCTAATTGTCATACAATTCGAATTTCATATAGGCTAACGAAATTTGTTTAAACCAAAAGGCAAATTATTCTTCCTTTGAACTGGTTCGTAGGCTATCTGTAATCAGATGCACATTTAAAACTGGAATATAATCTAATTTCAGTCACTTACGCGTGTTTCATAAACACACAGGGGCGCCGTAACGGGGGGAAGGTTAGGACGATTCCAAGGGCCAGGCAAGGGAGAGGGGGCCCGGAGTGTGATTTTTACCGGGGGGGACCGCGATCGCGGGGGGGCCCTGAGTCAATATGATGTTCAGGGGACCCGGAAACCATAGCGACGCCCCTGTAAACACATAATCCTTTCTGGATTACAATCCGCCATCAAAATGATAAATTTAATTATTCCAGCTCCTCACATGCGATATAGCATACTAGCCGGGACAACTTCTTTATGTTTACTGATGTTACGGCATGCTCGAATCTCCCGCGAATTCCTACCAGTACAACTCAAACTACAAAACATTATAAGCTTACCGTTTTGAATCGGGCAAAGGTAAGGAGATAGTTTTGAACACTGGATGGTTATGTACTAGCTCGAAAAATTAATTTCACATCATTTTTAACCAAAAGAATTTACAGACTGCAGCTTTATATTGTAAAAATGACTCAACCACAAGTTCAATGCATTTAACACAACACTATCCTCAAACCACGGACGCTTCAAAACAGTAGGATGTAGCAAAGCCTCTTTTGCTGAAATCACGTGACTCTGTCAGACAGGCCTACCTGCTCCGATTCACTCCGAAACACGATTCATAAAGGTTTCGATGCTTCGTGAAGCAGTTATTCGAACTCGCCCATCACTAATAGATGCTTTAATCAATTCACCATTACATTATAATAAAATGTATATAATAATCACGGATATAATGAAAGCAGGTTGTCAGCAGCTCTTTAATAGCTCAAAGAATAGTACACCAGGACTTGTTGTCAGGCGCCGTCTCATTAACGTTACAGCTCTGTAGTGTGGATCTGGCACAATCTTCTCGAGATGTCTGTTTGAGATACTGCTCTCGACTCATGTTCTTGATGATCTGGAGGAGGCCCTGGCTCACTCGGTAGGTTCTGCTGCTGTAGAAGCGTCTCGGGTCGCTGTGTTCAGTCACATACACTCTGTTGAAGTTGCCATTGGCGTCCTGACGCACAATAATGCGATCCTTGTTACTGTCAAGAATGTTCTGGTTGTATTTTGTCCTGACATAATCTGGGAGTTCGTCTGCTCCTCCAGCGTTCAGGTTGCCCACCTCATAGTATGGGAGATTCTGAAGGGGCACAATGTGATCATCATCATCTTCAATTCTGTTATAGTACTCGTGGAAACCAAAGTCTCCATTTTGAGGACTATAGATGGAGACAATTTTCCCATTTCTGAAGTCGATATAGTCTTGAGCAAACCAATACAACAGGTTCAAGCCATGTCTCGGCCACGGCTGACCGAAGCCGGAGTATTTTAGCTGGGACAGTTCATTCAGAGTGCTCACCATGATGGACAGCTATGTAAGAGAAAGAGACAATGAAGAAATATTTAGAATAATAGTAAAACCATATGATGAGGCAGTAAATACTGCTTTTTGAAGGGAAAGTGCATTTTAGATGATGCAATTTGTCACCATTTATGTTTTCCACTGTATTGAAATCACTATTTTTGCCTGCTTCATTTCAATGGTCATATTATGACAAATTATTTTTTTTTAAGTATTAAATATAAAAGACAAAGATTCTTAGTCTTTCGTTGAATGTAGAATTCTAATACAATTTTTTTTATACAATGTGGAATACAAACAGAAGAAAATGCAAAATAGTTGAATAAAGTTTAGCCAATTTATAGCTTTAAAGGAAACACTTAGCATTGAGCCCATTTTTGAGTCTTATTTTGCAACAAAATATAAAACATTATTGTTGGAAACAATATCTTTTTTTTTTTTTTTTTTACTTTTCTAGAACTTTGAGGGTCATTTTAAATTAAGAGTTTTAATAGTATTTATAAACGTAGAAAAGAAGGCCATATTTAAATTTTCTCTTGAAATTGTATAATTAAATTTAAGACATTTTGAGAGTGTTGTAAATACACATTCTTTATCATGAAATTATGGGTGAATATATATTTGATATTTCTGTGTCTCATACAACGCCTCTAAAACCATGTAAGAGAATGACTTTTAAGCATCACAAGTGTGCTGTCCTTATGGAAAACACAAATATCCTAATGTTTACCTTGTATGGTGAAGACTGATCCTCCAAGTTTCTTGCAGTGGTCTGGTTGTTGACTTATAGTGAGCTGCTGCAGCGAGTTCTTTTTAAAATGATTCCTTCAAGACACACCTCCTTAGAAAAGCTCACAGCTGGGAAATAGAAACTTAAGCTTTTTGGAAGGTTGTAGCTAACGAGTTTTTTGGATTACTGAATAATGCACAGTATGTATTGCAAACTAAAACAGTATTTGGAACAGTATTACTCTATTATGTCACATGACCTCATTGCATTGTACAGTTTGTTTAATACAATGAGTGGGATTCTGGAAATAAAAAGCTATTTTGCTTTTCTAAAGCATTTCTGCTTTAGAAACAAGTAAACAAAATGACTAAACTTAAAATGAAAAAAAAAACGAATGTAAGAACAAATATATGTGACGTGCATTTAAACTTTTTCCTAAAAAGATAAAATTAAATTAAGTTGAACAAAAAATAAAAATATTAAACCTAAAAGAACTCTTAAATAGCACTGGTGAGCATTGAGTTAAATGTTATTAATATTTTCCAACAGTAGCTATTAATAGGACCTAAAACGTTTACATAAAGAAATGTCAAATATAGGTGTAAACTTCTTGATTTCTTGACCCAAGACACTAAACAAAGTTTGACCAATGAATTTCAATAACTCTTCCAAACATTATTTTAAAACATTTTATAGAGTGTTTTTCCATTTGTTTGTCAGGTACTAATGCTTGCAATTAATGGATTTAAATAATTATAATTCTTAGGGTGCAAATTTCTCGAATATCTAGCAATTTTTAGCCAATGAAACATTTTGGAGCAGAACAAGGGAAAAAAAATCAGGTCTGGAAATCTCATTAGAAGCCTGCTTCAGCTACATAACGACAGCAGGAAAAAATGTTTTCATGTAAAAAGGTTGGTGGTGGTCCTCCAGAGCAAAAGACAGGAAACCGAAACTTACTGTTTATCAACTGCATTTCAGCCATAAACTCTAAGAACAGTGACTTGCAAAAAAGGGTGAAAATTCATAATGACAGGCGTGAAAGACTGTTGTTTGTTTGATCATTTCCTTTTCAAACCAGCTTTTATTAAACCATCATCTGCACCATGACTCTGTAACACAATGATCAGAGGCCAAGAGAGGGACAACACCAACAGGACAAACGAAAAGAAGAATGACAACCAGCGGTAGTGAGGAAAACTTGAGGAATGACAGTCAAAGGAAAGAAATCAATGAAGAAAGACGTTTTACAGTTGTACAAAGACTACAAACAAAGAAAATAGAATCTGCAATTATTACAAACAGCAGTAAAACTGTGAATTCACATTGAAACTGCTGTTTTAACGGAACAGGAGGATGATGGGATAGATATACACATATATAAAATTTCCATTAGTCTGAATCCATTCAAGGACAATGAGCAAACGTTTTGTCTTTGACATGAAGAAAACACGAATGCGTCGTCGCTTCCCATATCAAAAAGACAAAAAAAAAAGAAGATAAAAATCAAAATAATTGTGCTGAACCCTCACACTACATCAAAATTACCATCATAATTATAACTCTAGCTGTCAGTGTCAGCATAAGAAGAATTGGTATTAATAGTATGAATATTTTACTTCATTATTTGATATATATACACAAATATCCGCAATGTTTTTGCATTGCTGTATTCTTGCTTTATTTTCCCACGCATGTGTTTAAGTACACTTGAAAATAAAATGCGATTTCTCTTTTCTGTTTCACTGGAACATACAACAAACCCCAAACACGACACTCATGATCACACACATACACATACTGGTTTGAGACTCCCTTGACCTCGCGTGCCCATTTGAACACACACGAGCGCCTCAGTTTGTGGAAACCGTCCTTCTTTTCACCCCTTTCCACACGAGCAGGAGCAGACCATAATGCATCTGTGCCCAGGCTGAAGGGGAAACCTCAGCAAATGGGTATTTCCTTTGGCGTCACATCACAGCGACTTGTCAGTTTGAAACGCTGAAGCTAAACTCCAGCAGTGCAGCTACACTGACGCTTTTACGTTGCTCTCCTGCTTAGAGCAGCACAATCCCTTCAGAGCATCGACAGAAATGCTGTTCTGGAGGCTATAAACAAACACGCTCTGGACAACTGGTTAGTCATTTTAAGTGATTTTAGTGGGTGTTAGTCCTCCTCATTCCAAGCAGAATGGATTGAGAGGACTGTACAGTTGTGATGGGATTTAAAGGAACAGTTCATGCAAAAATGAAAATGATGCCATTGTTTACTTGCCCTCGGGTCATTCAAACCCACATGTTGTTGATTTTTTATTTTTTATTTATAGGCTGAAAAAAGAAACAAAACAATGACTTGAAGGCACCATAAAAGTAATGCACACAAATTGTGTGTTGTATTTCAAGTAATATGAAAAGACTGAAATTTACATTGTTATTCACTGAAAATCTTTTCTTCTTTAAAAGCTCTTGACATTGATTTGGGAAGAAATTGTGTGGTTTGATGGTCATTGACTCCAAAATGCTATTGATTCTTGCATTTTATAATTGTCATGCCAGTTTGAACAAATAAAGAAAACCTTGCATAAAACTAGGAGACTTGTAATATAGCATCACAAATCGCACTACTTTCATGATACTTTAATGTTTTGGCTGTCCAGGTCCAAAAGGACCAAAATAATGACGGAAAAGCACAATGAAAGTGATGCATGTGACTTGTGAGTTACATTTCAAGTAATATGATTGCTTGAATTTTACATTATTCACTGACAATCTTCCAAAGCTCTGAAAATGTATTTGCGAACGGTTGAAAAAAAAAAAATGCAGTTTGATAATCATCGACTCAAAAATGCCAATGGTTCTTGTGTGTCGTAATTGCTGTACCAGTTCGAACAAGTGACAATTTTATGCACAAAACTACTGTATAGATTCAGAAAGAATATAACACCTCAAATCGCATTGACTACTTTCATTATACTTTTTATGGTGTTTTTTTTCTTCTGTAGAAGTTTATAGGCTGTCGAGCTCCAAAAAGGACCAACATAATGACTTAAAACCACCATAAAAGTGATGCATGACTTATTTGTTATATCTCAAGTAATACATTGGCTTAGTGTGAATGAAAAGATCGAAATTTACTGATAATCTTCCAATCTGCCAAACCTCTGACATTTAATTTGATTAGAGTTTAAAAAAAAAATGGTGCAGTTTGACGGTTTTGTCTCAAAAAAAAAAATAATGTCGTAATTGGCATTCAAACAATTGGAGAACTCCTCACAGAAAACTATTGTATAAATTCAGAAGGAACATAGCTCCTCAAATCGCATAGAGTACTTTAATGGTACTTTTATCATGCTTTTTAGCGCTTGACATGTTGTGCACTAACATTAATGGAAAAAAGCTTGTTTTGCAAAAGAAATAAGGTGGCGAGTAAGTAATGACAGATCTTTCATATTTGTGCACACCATTCCTTTAAAATCCACAAACCAAGGCGAGCTCTTAAACTTCATCTCTCACACAAACATGCTCAATGAAAAGAAAGAGCACTACAGCGCTTCTCTGAACTCATTCACACCTGTGCTAATTCTCACACACACGCTTGCATGAGCAAACAGGCCTTCATGTCCCCCGGATGTTTAAGGATGTGACATCCACAGCTTGAGGAAGACATGTGGAGCGTGTTGAATATGTTTTCCTAACGCTAGCGTTTACTGAATCGTGAACCCTATGTTTTAATAATCCCATGAGGAGAACAGAGAGACACACAGTGGATGGTGGTGGGAGAGCGCTCCCGGACCATTTCGGTGTCCCTTACTGTCCACTGAGTAGAGCACGGCTGGCGAAAGAGAGAACGCGCATCTCGATATACTACGATACGGGAAAAGAGAAGGGGCAGCTGACTGAGCTTTCGTTTGTTTGTTATCTTCCGGGAAACGGGACAGTGAGGGCATCGTGGGGCATGTGTGTGATTGGGATCAGAAGATATTCGGGCAGGAGTCCCAGTCTCCCTGCTCCTTAGCCTCCCAGTATCCTCCTCTGTAGATGTGCGTGGGCTCTCCTGTCATCGGGTCGACCTGCTGCTCGAACCACATGGACTTGTAGTTGTCATGGTGACCACCTGATCGAACAAAACAAACACGTACATACAAAAGCAAACAAACAGTCACATAATTAGAGAACAGAACATATATGAGGGTGCTAGTAACTCAATAGAGCCCTTTTCTACAAAAGCTATTAGAAACTATTTCAAATACAGCCTGGAGCTTACAAAACAAACGCTGACTAAACTATTAAATCTATACTTAAACAATCAGCTACAATCTCTGATTCAACACGTCTCGCTTTCTATATTCACACAACAGGCTGATAAACAGCAGCTAAGAGAGGCACATGATCAACTCGGGAAGAATAATAATAAAGCAAAAAAAAAGGCAAAAATATTGGTAAAGTTTAGAGGTGGGTGGCATGACCAGCATTTTATATCACAGTCCAAGATACAACTTTATATTACAGTAATGGGAGTATAAATAACAGTGAAGTTATTTTTGCTGGAAATTGAACTATATAAAATATAATATAATAATATAATATATAATTCTCATTTCTGCACAAGCTAATGTAATGAATAAAATACATGAAACATACTTTAGCACAATTGATTATGGACTTGAAAAATAAATACACACATAAAAACATATTTTAAATGTAACATTCCAAAAAAGTCTATATATTCTATATTAAATCCATGTAGTCTATCTAGATAGTCTATATATTAAATATTAATAACCATTTTATTTTACAAAACCTTGTTACACATTATGTGTACTTACTATAGTAATAACAATAAATTATTCATAATTACATGCAACTAACATGAAACCAAATTCTCATCCTAACCCTAACCATATAATAAATACATGCAGTTAATTAAAGGGGTCCTATTATGCTTTTTCACTTTTTTACAGGAACTATTCGAGCCGTTCATGCCAGACTGGGGAGAGAGGTGTTGTAATAATGTAAAATATGTGAAAAATACAACCTAGTATGAGAGCCTGTTCTAGTACACCCCCAAAACAAAATCAAGACTTTGTAAAAGAGCATAATAGGACCCCTTTAATATAACTCGCTACTTAAATGTATAATTATACTGTAACAAGGACCTCGGTAAAATAAAGTAAAACCTAAATATTATGAGCATAATTACATAATAATTACATAAGAACATAACATTACCGTCTAACTCAAATATACATGTTAGGGATGTAACGATTACCGGTTTGACGATAAATCATGATAAAATTCCCGACGGTTATTATTACTGGTTCATATTTTAATTATTAAAACCGTATTAGATTACTGTGATTTGAACAACTCATGATAAATAAATACCGTCCACCTTAAAGCACAGTTTTCAGTAACAGTCTCACGTGCGCACAGCAGGCAGAGCTTTTCATTTTGAGTGAAAACAAGGCGGAAAAGCTGGGAGGTTTTAAAAGAGTGCTAAGGGAATAATACAAATGGATATATGAATAAATTAATTATATGAATGTACCTCTGAAGGTTCTGACTGTCTTCAGAAACGATTCGATGGCATTTTGTTTTCATCTTCGCTCCATGTAATACCTAAAGGAAATGTTCTTAATCGCAATACTGCTTGTCCACAGAGTATATGGGAAACAGCTTTTCCACCAGCGCCAACTGCTGTCAGCGAGTGGATTTACAGAGACGTATATTTACATTCAGCCTGTGTGCAGTTTCTGTCTGGCCAAAAACGGACTGAATTTGCATGCCCTGCTGTAAATTTTAGCACATTTTAACAATACCGTGATAATACTGATAACCGTGATCATTTTGGTCACTATAATCGTGATAAGAAATTTTTATACCGTTACATCCCTAATACATGTTTTATATTTTTTATTTTTTTTCATACATATTTTTATCATTTTTAATTATATATTTTATTTATTTTAATATTTTATTTTATGAGCCGAAGTACATTTCATTTGTACATTCATATATTTATTTTTAAATATTAAATTATATTTGATTAAAGCACAGGTGTGCAAAAATCCTACATGTTCACACTTAATGTAAGTGGCATGACATGTCTATTCAATAGTTAAACTACAGTCTTCTGCTTGATCATACCGCCTAGCTCTATCAGATGTGAGCAATGGAGGGGCTGGAAGGGTTTTGGGTGGATGTTACTTGCTTTTGACCGGAGCTCCATAAGGACCCTCCACTAGAGTGACACAGAGCAGATAATGAGACAGTGAGGGTCTCATCCATCAGCTCACAAATGCAAGTTTAATGCCACAATTGTCATTTTATAATGTGTGTGAAATCGCGGTCACTGTATAACATGACGCATATGTGGAAGTGTATGATAGTGTGTAGTTTTCTGTGATAATCAATGCATAAGCTGTACGTGTTTGCAATAGTTCAGACTACTTTTCTTACATGATCACAAACTTACCATTGACATAAATAGTCAGCTCTACTGCCTTTCCTTTTGCATTTAATTCTTTATTACAAGCAATCCTGCAGTTCATAAAGAACTTTCTTACCTTTTCCTACCTCCACGAGTGCTATCTATTATTGCCTTGTTGATCTAAAAGTGCTCTTTTCCTTTAAACCTAGCCAAAAAGCCATATGTGTTGATTGTGAAACACAGTAGACTTTAATAATATGCATTTATGCTGTAATTACTACATTTTCGTGTCAATCCATGTTCATATTTACTGCAAACAATGCGCTGTTACTTTAATTCAGTATTAATGTGAACTTGGCGTTATGTGTGTGCGCTGCGAGTGTGCATGGGTGCACGGTCTCCAGGAGAGTACGCGAGCGCTGAATGGTTAAACACTGGCAAGAATTAAAATGTAATGCAATTTATAAACTTTAGTGACGATGTGACACTGCCTCGATAGTGCAAGTGACAATTCCTGTGTCAACTGTGCAGCGTGCAGCTCGCTTATAGACAGATGCGATGTGTGGTGATTTGAAGCCATTTGCGTATTTTTGAGAGAGAAAGAGTGAGCGCGCGCGCGCGGTGATTCACTCACGCTGTTTGTGAAATTACGTCTCACACAAGGTTTTCAAATTACTTTATAAGTTATTTAATGAAGAAATAGATCGGCCTTTTATAGACCGCCGATCGATCATCCCAACGTGATTATCGGCCGATAGTGATCGGTAGCCGATCAATCGGAGCACCCCTGAGAGTCATATTATGACTACATTAACATGAATTGTGGATCTTGTGCTGTTAAGCAAAAAAGTATAATGTTGTATAATGTATAATATGACCCCATTAAGCTGTAAAAATGTAGCTCTAACAACTGTTTCCACTCTTATTCTACAATTACATAATTCCTCTTCATTACGAACACTGGTTTTGTATGCATCTCTGTGTGACGTGAGCGAGTGTGTGGTACTTGCTTGAGTATGCCGGTGGGTATGAGCCATGCAGTGTTTCAGCTGCAGAAGCACACAGATGAAGATGGAGGGATGCAGGCAAAGAGAAGAGGAGTGAGAGAGATGTTAGCATGCATGGGAGGAGTGAACTGAAGAAATGAAAGTCTACACTGACTGTAGTCTCTGTATATGATACTGTCTATACTCCTGCAGTTTATGCATTCACACTGCCCACTAGTGGAAGTAAAATACACGCACAGGCTTCTGATTTAAAATGCATGATGCAAGAATTAATTCAAATAAGAACCAAGTCTAATAATCTGCTCGTTTCCATTGAACAGTGTTTTCACACCTGAATCTTCTCAAAAATGTGATCTAGGATAGAGTTCATACGGACTCTAGTATGGTTTATAATTGTTGTATTCTTGACTCTAGCAATTACGTTAATACTGATGATGTGAATGCAGCAAAATACAATCAGAAAAGAAACCTTAAGGGGTGAAATCGAACTCAGATCAGGACTAAGCAATCAAACCAAGTGTGAAAACGACTAAACTAAACTACACTACACTATGCAGCTGTAGTCTGTGTTGATTCTGCTACTTGCTTGATAGTGAAAGATCGGAGGAAGTTTCATCTGTGTCAGCTGATGCAGGGACAGACAGATGGAAATTGAAGATGATTAGATGATAAATGTGAGAGACGGAGTGATTAGGAGAGAGGGATGGGATGGTACTTGCTTTTGTAAGTGGTCTCAGAGGGCTCACTGGCAATCTCGACTTCTTCAGCTGATCAGAGTTGAGAGACGAACAGCCAAAAATTAAAAAGGGGGATGCAAATTAAAACAAAAAAAGAAAGAATACAATGAGTGAATGGCATAATGGAGGCGGGGAAAGTGATCCTGGATATTAAAGGGACAGTTCACCCCAAAATAAAAATCCCGTCATCATTTTAGGGATGCACGATATTATCGGACCAATATCGGAATCGGCCGATAATGGCTTTAAATGTAAATATCGGCATTGGCCCGATTTGAAAAATTATGCCGATATGTCTTGCTGATAAGAGGAATAGGTTAACTCATGTGCTCAGGGTGTGCTAGCGATTACATCACATCAGCAGTGTGACTCATTTTTGAAGCAAAGTTTTGTCTGAATGATGATTAGATTCACTCTTTTGGATCGCTGCATTTAAACTGAGAAAGCACGTACAGAATGACGCTTCGGTGTATGATAGAGTAAACGGTAATAGCATGTGCAGTGGCAGCAGCGGCAGCCTCCCCCGGGTCCTAATGCCCCTTCGGTATGGAGTTTTAATTCCGTAGGGGGCGCTGTTGGCCTATTTTTAATAAAGTGAAAGTACAATACACAAATAATATTTAGACTGTGTTTCTGATTAAATAAAGCAGTAATTGATGTCATAAAATCATGAGTATGTTTTGATTTAAAGGTCAGAAGCTATAGCTTACATGAATAAAAAAAAATCACAAACATGACATTTGTAAATTAAATAATTTTATATATACTGATTTATTCATTAATGTGTAATATGTTATATTTTTTAAACAAATTATGAGCTCTAAAAGATTTTTAGAATTTTTACATCTCTTTTGCTTTAGACCATCTACAAATGTTAATTCTTAAATTAAAATGTTAAGGTTACTACTGCATCTTTCTGAGAAAAAAATGCAGCGATTAATATATAGTTTATTTATAGTTATTTTCAAAGCTTTAATGTACTGTTATTATAAAAGAACTTCATTATTGTTTATTTAATTCTAACAAATAAGTTCTAGTTAAAAATATATAATTTCCACACAGGAGAGACTTGGTATTGTTTCCAAACAAAAGTAAATATATCGGTATCGGCATCGGCTATCGGCCAAAAAGAGTTGAAAAATATCGGATATCGGCAAAAATCCAATATCGTGCATCCCTACATCATTTACTCACCCTTATTTCGTTCTAAACCTCAATGTGACTCTTTCTTGCATACGTGGATCATAGACACACCAAAGTATTACAAAACTGGTGTACTACTACTTTTATGGTACTCGATTGTCATTTTGGAGCCAGTTTTATTAGCATCATCTAAAACTATTAAAAACACGTATGGTAATTAAAATAAAATAAATGTTAACTGAAATAAAACAAAACAAAACATAAAAACTTAAATGTCAGTTAGTTGTCAAGGAATGTTTTTTTATTTTTGTTTAGTCAAGTACTGAAATGCAAAAAAATTAAAGGAAACAAAAAATTTACAAAAACACAACAAAATTACAGAAACTTGAACTGAAACTTAAAAATAAATAACCAGACTTACTACTCTGAAAATACAAAAATAATAATAATAATTTAAAATAATAATAAAATAAATAAGTAAACAAAAATACTATAATGATATATTAGGGAAATTAAAAGAACACTGCTTGAAGCTTTCAAGTTTTTTTAAGTCCCTTTCACTGATTTTGTGGAAAAGCTTCACGCAAGAAAATTCCTACAGATTTGGAACAAGATGACAAAATGTTCATTTTTAGGTGAACTATTCCTTTAATGTCATGCAAATAAGCACTATTACAGTGTCTGCATGTGTGTTTGTGTGTGTGAGATTGGAGAAAATGCAGAAGACGACAATTAAGAAGAGAAAAGGAAAGGAAGTAGAACAGGAGTACTTGCTTTTTAGAGGCGAGTCAGATATGGAGTCCTCAATGAGAGCTTGAGGGAAAGACAGAGACAGACACACGGGAGTGAACGAGAGACGCCGAGAAGGTAGAGGAAACGAGGAGAGACGAGCAGAATGACAAATAAAAGGACACTTTACCCCCGTCCGCTGGCTCCTTACCCTCTTCTGCAGGGTTGGCGGTGCGGTTGGCCTCTCGCTCCCTCTCTCGGCGGGTGGTGCGCTGCTTCTCCTCTAGTCTTTGTTTCTCAGCGTTGGCCTCCTCCCAGCGGCCCTGCTCCATCAGACGCTGATCCGGCCGCCTCCTGCTATCCGTGGGAGCAATACCCTCCTCCGGCTCGTTCAACGTCAACGCCAGGGTCGAGAAGTAGTACATGTTTTCAGCGCCTTCCCTACACAGCACAGAGAGAGAAAGGGCAGGAAATTATGGAGAGATTGAGAAATTCCAGTCGAATTCACACTTGAGCACCACAACACGATGTGCCAGAGAACACTGACTAAATACTAAGCCAAGGCTCCAACTACTCATGAAGAATAATTAGGTAATGGCAATGGTTTTTAAACCTTCCTTGGAAGTCTTGTCATGAATTCTAATTAATATTCTTTAATTAAAGGAATATTCCAGGTTCAGTACAAGTTAAACTGACAGGATTTGTGGCATAATGTTGATAACCAAAAAATAAAAAAATATGTAAACCTGTATAAACACTACTACAACTTGTGTGTTATTTTTTGTTTTAATTTACATTTTTATAGTCGCTTAGGGTTTTAGGTTCATGGTGTTATGTTGTCATTACAACAAAGTAATAAAATTGGATGTAAAGCACTCAGTGCTCACATTTTGTGGCTGTATGATTGAAACAATGAGTATTGTAACGTTTACAGAGTAGCCCATTCACTTCCATTGTTACTGCTACTGTTCTTTTTGGCTTTTTTAAAGAAATTGAGGGACAAATGCTGTCGACTGAGCTTGAACTTGGGAAATATTGTACATGACAGGGAATATCTTACGGCAGCGGAGTCTTCCTCCACAGCTCTTTGGCTTTGAGCGTCTGATAGACGGTTTTCTGTCGCCCGTCGGCACCGTTCTCTCCCCCTCTGCTGCTCTGCATCACACGAGAGCACTCCATCTTTTCGTCCCACGTCCCAGACAGAACATAGTGCGCTTTCCCGTTTTTATCCGTCACCACCCCGGTGACCTACAGAGAGAGGCGTTGCACAAGAAGGAAGCAAAAGCAGACATAAATTACAGAATGGGCAAAAAGAACCTGAAAAGCTGCAAAGGGTGACGGATAAAAGGGGAAAAAACAGACACGTCTGCATTCTGGGAGAAAGAAGTCAGTGGAACGGCTGCTGACTCACCTTTCTGGCCACGTCTCGGGAGAAGTAGCTGTACGGGGCGAATTTGAGATGACAGCGGTCGCCTGTTCTGTGGTTCACAACATCTATTTCTCCTGACTGAACTCAGAGAGAAAGAGAGAGACACACAAATATCACTTATGAATAAAATCAAATGCCACACTATAGATATTTAAGCAATTTAAGAGCTACATTTGTATAATGCAAATGTAATTTGCAAAACCAGGAAAAATGTAATGCACAAAAAACTGAGTGACAATCATGTTATTTACATAATATAATTCAAATGACATAAGCAAGTGAGACATGTACCAAAAATTGTTGAAATGAAATGAGCACATTTTTTACACAATATTTACAAAATAACAATTAAAAGAGGAATTACTGTAGCATTATCCACTGACAAGTCCATCAGTTCATTTTATATCAGACGCACTGATGCCGATTATATATGAAAATATGTCTAAATAAGTAGCGTGTATTCTGACCTGATCTATCCAGAGTTTCCCGACAATAATATTGTGCACTGTGGTTGTGACTTTCTTCCAGGTGTAGTGATTGTTACTCTTCTCAAAGATACAATGAATAGAACCTGGAGCAAACAAACAAGCAACTCAAAATCAGCTTGAAAACTCTTGCTTAAAAACATAAATGTGAGCATATGACATTCAAATATCCATCTTTTAATATGAACAAAATATACTAATATATTAATGCAGGGATTCCAAACTTTTTTTTTTTGGTCAGCCGAACCCCTTTGACTTAAAGTATTTATTTTAAATGCCCCTAGAGAATTTAATTTAATACTTTAATAATTTAACAACACATTTACAGTTCTCTGATGTTGGTTAATAGTTACATGACATCAATAAAACATTTGTATTTAATATCTTTTTTTTGTGTGTGTGTGTTTTAAATTGAAAGTTTTTATTTTCAAATAATGTATATATTTTAATTTTACATTTTTACGATATATTGTCAAATCACAAAACCTAGTTTGGGCAGCCATTTAAATTGGCATATCAAAAAAGTATTTGGATATTTAAGTCACAATTAAAAAGGTCCAAATGTTGTTGCATTAAATAAAATATCATATCATATGGTATCTATTTTAAATACAGCACTGGCACACTCTGCGGTTGTCAAATGTTAGTTGAACATGTTCATAGTTAAAGTGTCCAAAAACTTTTTTTATTCCACTCGACATTGTTTCTAATCGGCTTTTTTGCATTACACTTCCTGTTTTATATGTTGTTTTTAAGAAAAGGAACTAATGAGAAAAACTCTTCCCTGAATGAAAGCCGCATGTTATTTTAAAACTTGAACATTGTGATAAGGCTCAAAATAGGATAAATAGTTACCCAGGGGCATGATGGAGAGATATTTTCCCCTGAACTTGCTGGCCAGGGCGATCTCCTGTCTCAGGGTCCAGCCTCGCTCAGAGATCGCATGATGGGCCGCAGCCGGAGGGTGATGGCTTACCTGAAGACCAAGACGGGAAGAAGAACGGATTAATACCAAACACAACTCATCTATCTCAGGATAAACAAAAGCTCACCTGCTCACAGAGGGACCTGTAGCCGCTCTCCTGCATGCGGTCCAGCTCAAATGTCTCTCCCAGCAGAGGGTTGAAGGGTTTGCCCGTGCGGTGAACTGTAGTGGAGTAAGAGGACACGGTGAAAGCTGCCACGTAGCACATCTGCTCCAGAGAGCTCTGGCACTTGGCACCCCGGTCCAGCAGCTCGTAGTACTCCAGATCCTCGGAGAGACGCTGCAGCATAGACAGGGGCTCGTTGAAGTTCACCTGTGAAAAGAAAGGATGCGTTGAAAGCAAATTAATCTGGGCTGTTTGGGATTCTTGTAAAGATACGGATAGGCGTACAGGCATAGGGATTTTGGAGAGCTCTTTTCCGATACAGTTCTTCATGATGCTCCATAGATTGAGAGAGTAATTTGGTTTATCTGGGATTCGGCTCCGCCTCTTTCTCACAGGCACTACTTCCTGGGACTGTGGAGATTCGGGACTGGACGCCAGAGACTGCTCGTCTAGCTGTGAAAGATTAAAACAAAAACGGTGTTTAAACATGAACTTCAATCGTCAATATGAGTTTTTTGATATTTAGACAGCACATCGAATCGAATTTGGCTTGCATACAATGGTGATGAAATTTTTGTAATAATTACGATTTTTAATGTTTTTGAAAATCATCTCTTATGCTCATGAAGGCTACATTTATTTTATAAAAAAAACACAGTAAAAACAGCAACATTGTGAAATATCATCTATTTTAATATACAGTCAAATGTAATTTATTGCTGTGATCAAAGCTGAGTTTCCAGCATCATTACTCCACTCTTCAGTGTCACATGACCCTTCAGAAATCATTCTAATATGCTGATTTGCTGCTCAAGAAATATTTAAAAATCATGTTTTTAAATTGTAATAATATTTCACAACATTACTGTTTTTACTGTATTACTGCTCAAATAAATGAGCCTCGGTGAGCTTAAGAGACTTTTTTCAAAAACATAAAATATCATAAGTATTCTGCCAGTGTACATAAACGCCTTACCGACGTCGTCCCGTCATCCATTCCCAGCTCGCTACTGATTCCGCTGACATTGCTGCCGGATCTCCTGAGAGAAATGGAAAGAGCGTATGAGAGAGCCAGAGAGTGAGAGATAGGAGGAAGGGGAACGGGAAGGGAAGGCAGAGGATACACACACTTAGGTCCCAGTAACACTCATATCAGAAGAGAGTTAAGGGACAGAGAGGGATGTGAGTAAACGACAGGAGCGAGGCGGTCAATACAGACCTGTGATATTTGGGGTCTGCTGGTACAGTGATAAACTCTTGAACGTCCTCGCATGCGTCAAAGAATTCATTCTCCTCGTCCTCGTCACTGACGTCGCCCTTTCCTGGAACTGGGCCTACAGGACAAAGAAAGAAGGAAGTATCATTTATATACAGGAAATCCAATGTCGTATCCAAATGTATGGCAAGAGTTTTTAAACACAGAAATTAGTTAGAATGATCAATATTCACAAGGAATTGGCTGACAATTTTAAAAATAGGGTTTACTTTGAATACTGCAAAGGTTTCACTGCAACTTTTTAATTGGCCGATATGTTTATTAAAGAATAAAAAGTATTTTAAATCAGTTCAAACTGTACGACTCAAACTGTAAATTTCAATTGATTCAAAAATCTGATTTATTGACTAATTTGCATTACCAAAACTTTTTTAAAACAATTTAGTTATTAAAATTTTGTAAAATACACTACCATACTGTATCAAATTGATACTTTTTGAAAGAAATTAATACTTTTATTACGCAAGCACGCATTAAATTGATCAAAAGTGTCATTAAAGACATGTATAATGTTACAAAAGGTTTCTATTTCAAAGAAATTATGTTATTTTAAACTTTTTATTCATCAAAGAATCCTGAAAAAAATGTATCACAAAAAGCTCCAACCAAAATATGAAGCAGCACAACTAATAATACTGTTTCTTAAGCAAGCAAATCAGCATATTAGAATGATTTCTGAAGGATCATGTGACACTGAAGACTGGAGTAATGATGCTGAAAATTCAGCTTTGCATCACAGGAATAAATTAAATTTTAAAATATAATAACATAGAAAACATTTATTTTAAATTGTAATAATATTTTACAATATTACTGTTTTTATTGTATTTTTGATCAAATAAATGCAGCCTTGGTGAGCAGAAGAGACTTAGAAACATTCAACCCCAAACATCCAAATGGTTGTGTATTTAATATACATATCGATGTTTATTACCATGTAGTGCTAAGTTTGAATAATAAAATGGAAAAGATTAAATCCTATTCTCAATTGCCTTTATTTAGTGAAAATTGTGTGCTGTGATTAAAAACTGATTTGTAAAACAATTTTGACAGATTCATTCAAAAAGATTCGCTTAGAAAAGTAATTAATTGGGGAGTCAAGATACCACTAGTTGTCTTTTCATTGTTGTGTGCAACTACAATGCATTAGAAATCTGTGTTTATATATTAGTCTCTATATAATTTTGTGGCACCCAGTCTTTCTGTGCCAGCCGTACTTTACCTTTGCTGTCTATGGCAGGGTTGCTCTGGGATGGAGGCAGTACGGTCGCTCCTCTGAAGGCTCTCTCCAGATGGTTGTGTTGTTTGGCGAGCTGCTCCAGTGTCTCCTCCAGTCGCACTCTCTGCTCTCTCTCGGCCTGCAGGGCTTTCTGCCAGCGCTTACTGTGAGCCTGAGCCAATGCCAGGAAGTCCCGGCAGGCCTGGGTATCAGATTATTAAAGAATCGTTAACAATACGTTTAACTGTGGTTTCTGTGTGCTTAACAGACAACCACAAGTGAATGAGGCAGTGAGTTGCTTTTTCCCTAAAGCAAAAGTATTGCTCGGTGGTCTTACATTGATCATGGCGTTGGAGGTGATGCGGAAGAGGGTGGCTCGCTCCGTCACCTGCCGAATCTTTTCACTCGTCTCTCCTCCCAGCCGAACTCCCTCCAGCTCAGACAAGGACCTGAAAGAAAGCATAAGAAACTACTTTATACGAGCAGAATCTGAGTGGAAATCCAAAAGTTTTAGACACACATACTTTTTCTTGACTATTACTATTTTCCACATTTAAGAATAACAGTACAGTCTTAAAAACTATGAAATATTGTGTATGTGTAGACAGACAGACAGACAGACAGACAGACAGATAGATAGATAGACAGTCAGACATAAAGATAAAAATATATACACATGTTATTGTTAACAAACTATGGAAAAAAATCAATTTCGTTAACTGGAATAATGCTAAAATACAAATATAAATATGCTAAAAATATAAATATTACATGAAAAACAATAAATAAATATTTAAAAACTAGAAATGTTGCCTTGGGAACTAAAAAAATTGCTAAAACTAAGCCTGAAATAAAATTAATAGCTAAATAAATAAAATAAGCTAAAAATGACAAAAGAACAACAAAATTACTAAAACTTAAACTACAATTAAAATGAAAAGCAAAAACATAACAATAAAAGCTAAATCAAAACATTAACAATATAAATAATATTTTAAATATAATTACTTTAATTAAAGATTTTAATAGCATAATAATAATTTGTAAATAATATATAACATTATAACGATTACAATAAAAAAGATATATATTCGCATTATATAAATAATATATAACAAATACATTTCAAGCAAATGTTATTAATGTCATGAGAGCAATAAATTTAGCCAAGTGTGTCCAGTCTGTTAGAGAAAGGTGGACTGACCGCTGAAGAGCAGAGCCGTGTTTGGCGATGAGATCGTTGCAGGTGCTGAGATCCTCCACCTTGCTGCCCAGAGTCCGGAGGGTGGACTGCACCTCTGAGTTGCGTGAGCCTGCGCCCTGACCTGCCCCAGGAGAAGTGGAGTCGTCCCCGGAATCATCTGCAGGAAAAAAAGAGGAACGAAACTGTGAAACAGAAACCCCGAAGTGTGCATTTTTGTGCTATTCTCAAATGTGGTTTCCTTTCCAACTGACCCGACTCAGCCTGCATGCGGAAAGCTTTGGCTTTGGCCAGCTCCAGTGCTGTGATCCACCGCTGCCGCTCCACCTCTGAGCTGGCCTTCAGGTGATACGTCTGCGTGCCGCCATTAGAGATGACGAAATTGCACGAGTCCTCCACCGCGATATTGGCTGTGGCCAGGTTTATGGTGCCCCGACATGTGTGACCCATCTCTGCCTGGGTCCTGGAAGAGCAAAGAGGACAGAGATAAGATGATGTGTTTAAGATAAAACACTTTACTTAGTCATAGTTATATCCTCTTTTAGATTTACACAGTGTTTATCATCGCTAAACGGGTGGCCAGAACAGGTCGTAATGTGTTTCAGACTTCATAATGTTAGTCAAAGTCTGGTTCTGTGAAGCTAGAGGAGCATTCATGAGGCTCTCTTTAAACTCTAAAAACTGAACAAAAGCCCCCCGACAGCTGTTTTTCGGCGTCTGATGCATTATTCATGAATTAGCACTGAAAGCCAAGCATTCGAGAAATGCCTTCGGGTAGAGTTTCTTTCACTCTTGAGCATTTATGTGACAGAAGATACGACGTGTTACTGCTGCCATCATAGTATCTGGTATCAGATTGAAAATTAGCCTCATGTTTACAATCTTAGCAGATACACAGAAAAATATTTACCACACTGAACATTTCTGAGCCAAGAATCAAACCAACCATCTCCAAGACGAATAAATCAAATGACAAACAACAGTAAACAATATAAAGCTGAATCTGCTGTTAAAAATGCACCATCCATTCATCATTTCATCATGCAAAAAATACAGGACAAATAGCGAATTTTTTATTGTTTCTCGAAACGTCATAGCATTTCCACACAGGCAATGACATGACTGCTGCGCCAAATCATTTATGTACCCACGCATCATGTACGTCGTCACGCGTTAACGTCATCAAATTGCGATCGATTCGTGAGATCGGCCAAGTTAGTGAGTACCGATCGAGTCATAAAATGTGATTATCGGCCAATACCGATCTCCGGCCGATCGATCGGAGCATCCCTATGAAGTACTAAATTTACTAAAATAAAAATAAATTAAAGCTTTACAAAACTAATTAATAATGTCTAAAGCACAATGAAATTACTAAAACTTAGGGTTGGATATTGTTCACATTTTACCAAAAAACGGTACCTTTCTTCGGTACTTTACTCTCAGGGTAATAACAAAAACATTTATTTCAGTGGGGAAAAAAGTCCCTTAAGACAAACCTCTTAATTTTAACATTTTGTTATTAATTTATTTCGAAATTTTACACACTAGACAAAATTCTAATGTCACAAATAATATTCTCAAGATTTACTGTTTTTTATATGATTCTTTGATTATTTTGTAGTGTGGGTTTGGTGAAGTGTACTAAAAACCAACATTTTTCACAGTCTTCCAAATTGACCCACAACCTAAACGGTTTGTAGGCTACACAAAGAAATTAATTAATTCATCACACGAGTCGAGTTTTGAGTGTTGTACTGACAAACTACTACTACTCACCCGATTCCTGATGGTTTTAGAGGACAATTACTCCTAGTCTTCCCATGCCGTTTCAAAGAATACTACAATGGCTAGCGCAACAAGTATAAACGCCTTGCACACACACAAGCACAATCAGCGGAGGCTCGTAAAAGTACCGAGTTAGTTACCCAACCCTACTAAAACTACAATTAAAACTGAAAATCTAATAATAAAAGCTAATTCAAAGTATTAATAAATATTATAATAGTATAAAAATAATAGTAAAATAACACTGTTGTATTTTATAAAATTGAGCAGTAAAACTGTCAGAAGCTCATATGTAAAGAGCACCAAATATATCAAATATAAAGTTTTCATCTCCAACTGTAATTTGCCAACACTGATGAATCACCAGTTCCTGGATTTTTTTATACTCTGCTGGAAAAAATGTGGCAAGACCAGTTTGGATGGGCTATGACATGGCACAAGACCGATGCCAGGCGATTTAACAGAGGCACAACAGTCCTGAGCCTGTCACCCGTGAAACTGTGAAATCTCTTACTCGCCCTCTACATTTCCTGATGCATCTTTCACACACACAATGAGAGCGATGAGAAACCACTGAGGTCTGCCTGCAGGAGCAGAGGAAGTGCTGAAATCAAGCCTTAAGTCGAGCGTGTGATCCTCCTGAACAGAGATGACCGGTTAACACAGTCACGTGACCCAAACTCGCTCAGCCAATCATGTGGAGGTGGACAAGACAATGTGCACTTGTGTCTTTTATTTACACCGTAATGCTACGGTGGGGTTTGCCACACCCTGTTTATGATTAATGTGCATGCAATGCACTGGGCTTTTTAGACAAGCATCTGTTATACTGATATCTCAGTTTTAACTTAAATTCAGTATTTAAAAGTTGCATATGTAACAGACTGTATAATAAACATTTAATAAAGTATGCCATATGCTTTTTAACTTAAGTAGACAATCCACCCTCTAAGTAATAATATTTGAGATTTATCAAGAGTTACTACATTAAAATTTAATGCAAAGTCAAATTTGATCAGAATTTCAGGTTTTTATTCAGATACACAACAGTCCAAAAGTTGTGGTTGGTAAATGTTTTAAAAGAAGCCTCTTATTCTCACCAAGGCTGCATTTATTTGATCAGAAATACAGTAATATTGTAAAATATTATTGCAATTTAAAACAAATGTTTTCTATTTGAATACATTTTAAAATGTAATTTATTCCTGTGATGCAAAGCTGATTTTCAGCATCATTACTCAGAACTCATTCTAATATGCTGATTTGCTGCTCCAGAAACATTTCTGATTATGATCACTGTTGAAAACATGCTTCATGTTTTTGTGAAAACTGTGATACAGTTTTTCAGGATTCTCTGATTAATTGAAAGTTCAGAAGAACAGCATTATAAATGTCTTTACTGTCACTTTTGATCATTTCGCATCCTTGCTGAATAAAAGTATTAATTTCTTTCAAAGTCTTACTGCCCCCAAACATTGGTGGTGTATGCATTTACAAAGCGCCAGTAAGCTTTGTCAAATATTTGATTATCAAATAATAATCAACCGTATATCATCACTGCAGTAAAAATAAGCTATTTGTGAATTCTTTTGGAAATGGAATGTTTCGATGCCACAAACATCATTTTTTGGTCATGTTCATCCCGAACTGAATGAAGCACTACAGATCTTTTTTTATTTGCTTTGGTGCGGCATCAACACAGTATTTATTTAAAGGGGTCATATGATGCGATTTCAAGTTTTCCTTTCTGAAAAATAATGTGTTTTTTGAACATTAAAGCATGTCAACATATTCTGTTACACCAAATACACAAAATAATGATCTTTAAAAAAGCATCATATGACCCCTTTAATGATGTTTACATTTCATTTCCGTATTCAAGAAACAATTACAACATAAGCAAAGTAGTCAAACATAAAGCACATACTCTCACTAGCCAACTGCTGAGGCGTTGGACCTTGTTATTTTATCGTATATTTAAACATCAGATGACGAGGGTGGATTTTAAAGAATGTGTTATCCTCTCATCTCAAACTGTTGAGCAAACAGTGAGGATCGCACGAGCAAACAGACACACATGCGGGCGCTCCTGCGCGCTCTCACACGCAGTATTAATAATTGACAGAGCCCAATGAGATGAATGTGGCTTCACCACCAGATCAACTCCCACTCAAATCTAATTACGTAAAATGGCATCATCTTACAGACTGACGAACACCAGAAGGTGTTGAGTTTTTTTTGTCCGTTTACATACGTCCATCCTAAGGTTATCATCATTAACTAAAACTATAATTGAAATAAAGCTGAAACTAAAATAAAATATGAATATGAGATTAAAACTTTAACTTATTTCAGTTAGTGGTCAAAGCAGCATTTCAATTTTTCATTTAGTGTAAGTTGATGCACTAAAGTTACTAAATGAAAATTCAATAAATAAAAACTGAAATAAAATTAAACCTAAATAGTAGTATTTAAAAATAAGTACAAAAACTAATAAAAAATTAACATTACAAAAATTACAAAAAAATAAAAAAATGAACATTACAAAAATTACAAAAAAATTATCTAGTAATATTTAAAAAATAAAATTAAGCAATAAAAAAATGACAAAAGCACATTACAAAATTACTAAAAATTAAACTAAATTTAAAATGAAATCTAAAAAATAAAAGCTAATTTAAAATACGATTAAAAACTATTATAGTATATAAATAATACTAAAATAACACTGGTCCATCCAGTCCAATGGTTTGAAGTAAGTCGTATGATTTGAGACATCATCAATAAAGCACAAACCATATAGGAAAGGTTATATGCATAAGTTTGAGGAGTTTGTATGAGTGAAATCCTCAAAAAAGTGGTGCTTGCCGTACCAAGAATATCAAGTTATTTCACCATCTAAAGCTTAGCATCTTATCAGATAATGGTGAAAGGCCAAAGAACACTTGACAGCTCACAAAGGGTTCATTAGGACAACAGACGTTCCGATCAACCTTTGGGAGACCTGTTGTCTGACAGAAACAATACCAGACAACATTTTTTTTTCTTCCTAGAGGTCGATAAACAACAACAACACACCACAAACTCACCTGTAGTAAGACAGCAAGCCATTGCTCAGGACGAACCATCGCCTTTGGTATCCCTTGATGTAATTAGTCCATTTGAAGAGCCAGCCTTTATAGGTGTCCCCAGGGGCCGGGGTGGGCGCTTTGGGCTCCGACATCACGACAGCCCGTGGCTTCACAGTGTCTGACGGGGGTCTGGGTGAACACAAAGGGTTAAACGGTTAGTTGACACCTTTACCTGAGTGATTCACACCTTCATGGGGGCAAGACTTTCTCTTGTACGCCAAGGCACCTGAAATGTTTACATACACACACAAGTTGTGTTGTTCCCCACAGCATTTTGTGGTTTGTGTGTAGGTTGACAGCACACTAGGTTTTGAAACACAGCCCAAATCTTCCATATATAGACTGAAACGTGTTATACTCGGTGGATATCATGTCAATGGGCTCGTTTCGCCTACGTGTCACTCTCTGAACCCACTACTTGACATTTACACACACGAATTAAAACAAAACTCTTTAAACAGCAGCGTTTATGACCGCAATAAATGAAAACAAACACATCTCGGGCTATTTTAAACTTTGTTTAGATTAATGAGGCCTGTGTTTTACGAGTCATTCACACACAACTACGAGTCCAAACGACGTAAAAATGACAAAGTTTACTCATAACGCCATGACATACAATATAAACACTCTTACTGTTTTATTAAAAATCATGTTCGTATGTTACGTAAAATGACTTTGACGGCTAATTCAGCTAACGGCTAATAAAACTGACGCGCTATCGCGAGACATGGAGGCGGAAAGTCAATAACACAGATATTTCTGTAAATACAACACTTACGTGATGCCAAATCAACTGTAAGCCTCTCAAATGCGCGTTTATCCTCTAAAGGCCCTTTAATAATGTCAGCGTGCGGGGAAATGTGTGTCAAACTGAAGCTAACTAGCCTGTGCTAACCTTCAAGCTGTGTAGAATGACAGAAATCCCGTCAACTCGTGCATAACATCAGATGAAACCTCGGGGAAATAACGCAAAGCGACATGACAAGACATGGAAATCTGAAATCCCCAGTGTTGAGATGATTTAAAGTGTGTAGTGGGTGCTGGCCAGCTCTTACCTGATCTCTCAGTGACCCCTCTGAAGAAGGAAGTCAGTGACATGAGATCACAGGAGCGAGTTAGGTACTCACACAACTCGCATAAAAGTCACAGTCACATTATTGCATCTTTCCTCCTTCACACAAAACAGACACCGATTCTGAGCAGTGCATGTGGATGATGATCAGATGTACTCGTTAATGACATTTTAGTCGAAATGGGTTTTGTTTTAGGGTGTAAGTGAGGTAGGCTAAATATGGTAAAATAAATCAATAAAGCTGCCCGTGTTACAGTGATTTTACAAGAAGTTGATTTATAGTATAATCACTGTCATGCATGACTTCGAGTGGTTTATTGCTTTTATAAAACGATGGCAGCTAGGCTCACAAATGTTCAATAATCATCTGCATGCAGTGTTGGGGAGCTGTCAATCAATAAATTGGGGAAAAAAAGTAACTTGCGTTACTTATTTGAAAAAGTAACTCAGATATTCTCTTGTAAATTAAAAAGTAATGCGTTACTTTACTAGTTACTTGAAAAAAGTAATCTGATTACGTAACTTGCGTTACTTATTTGAAAAAGTAACTCAGATATTCTCTTGTAAATTAAAAAGTAATGCGTTACTTTACTAGTTACTTGAAAAAAGTAATCTGATTACGTAACTTGCGTTACTTGTAATGCGTTACCCCCAACACTGTCTGCATGTATTATTCATAATAATAAACAGTTCTTCCAAGTAATTTCATTCATTATCTAATTGTAGGCTGTTTACAGTTGCCATGCAACGTAGCATTATTTTTTATTAAATCTCTGTTAATCCTCTTTAAATAACAACCAGTCATTATCATTGTCAAACACAAACAAGCCAAGCAGCATACACTGAGGAGAAAATTAATAAATATTTATATAAATAGCCTATATAAAATATAATTTAAAAACTGCTTACAAATAATCGAAATAAGCAAAGGTTTAAGGAGGTTGATCGACATATAATGTTATAATATTTATCAGCATATATAAATTTGAGAGTTTGAGATGAGTTGAGATTGAGTCACAAAACTTGGAGCAGCCTTAACAAATCTGCATTTGTGTAGTTAAAACTTAATATAATCAAAATATTATTCCACAGATTATTCATAGAAGCTCCAAACTTGATAATGTGATATTCAAAAGCACCTGTTATGTTCTTTGTAACCAACCATTTATACATTTTGTCCCAAAATCATGTAACAATAATACAATTGTAGAAAAGATGTTCAGGGGATTCAAATTAAGTGCATTAATTTAGTAACAGGTGTGCAATTAAAACAACCTTTTAAAAAGGATTTCAGCATCATTCAGTTTTAGCCATTTTGTTTCGACTTGCCCACTGTAAATCAGTGCAAATTTATAAACAAATAAGTAAGTAAAAAAAACCTGATCATTTATGAATAATCTTTCAAAATAGAATAAAAATGTAATTATCTGAGGGATATTAGTTTGTAATTTGTTAGAAAATGAAGGGTATGCCTTACACCGATTGTAAAATGCCACAGTAAAATCCTGTTAACTGTTAATCCTGTAAGACACTTTATTCTATATAATAAAACAATAATATCTTTTATGCAGTAGTTTATGTAAAGATACGTCCACAAACACGAATTCTTCTCTAGAGTGTGAGGCCACAGCGCTGTATTTGACCGGTAGGTGGCAGTGCTTGCGCTTCTGTTTGTTAGTTGACGTCCACGAAGAAGATCGTGCGTCATGTGCTGCAGTGTTGTTCAGCTCCCAGTGGTTTGTTTTCATCTGCAACACTTTCTGTTCTAGATATATTACACATATTACACCAGCGGGTAAGTGATGGATGCATGCTGAGCTTAGAGAAGCACTTTAGACAGCGTATGCTGTTAGTTTCACGAAAGAATCGAACTATTTCATTCTATGTTTTCAGGGAGATGCCTGTGTGCTCACTAGTAAGTGAAGATGATTCACACAAACCCATCCAGCTTCATCACCAACAATCCGTGACTCTGGGTCGAGGGCCAGAAACTAAGATAAAAGACAAAAAGTGCTCAAGAGAACAAGGTTGAGATGTTTTTTCTATATGAGCAATTGAGAGATCCAGGCTTTATTCAAGAAACTAACACTAATATGTTTTTGTTTTCTTGCAGTTGAATTGAGAGCTGATTGCAACAGGGGATTTATCACTGTTAAACAGGTATGCTAGAATATTATAGTAAATATTAAAAGAAAAATGCATAATATAATGGATATTTTAATAGTAAGGAAATCTGCAAATTATAATATTGCATGTTTGAACCGTTTGTTTACTTTTTAACAGTTGGGCGTCAATCCTACAAATGTGGACAATGTGGTTGTGGGCAAAGGCAATCAGGTACAGTGTCATCAAAATAGCAAACACAGGTTCTTCACAGTATTTGACAAACTATCTCCTAGGGGTGTGACGAGACACGAGACTGGGTTCACGAGAACGAGACGAGATTTTTAGATTTTTTTTGAAGAATTCCTCGATGAAATATATAGGGAAAAATAGTCTTTTATTCAACTGAAAAACACAAAATGCAAAAAACGTAGGTGTATTTTGAAATCAACTTGTACTTTATGAAATTAAACATCTATTTTAATAAATTTTATGCAGTAATAAATAACATGTAAACACTGCAAAATGTTTTGCCACAAACTCAATTGACAGGCAAGTAATTGCACAAAAATTATAAAAAAGTATAAATAATTAACACAAATATCCCTTTAAAGTGGAAGTGAAGCAGTCAGTCAAGTTTTTCTTGACTCCTTTTTAATAGTTAAATTAAATGTTATTAATTAAAAAGCATGTCTAGTTATTTAAAACCATGAAACGTATACATTTTCACACCAACGTTTTTAAAGTTTAACAAAAATGACATGTTTAGGGCCCTATGAAATGTTTTATTTTTTCTCACCATATTATTTATACTTTTTATTGTTACCAAATTCTGTGTTTTAGCATGTCTAATTATTTGAATGCATAAAACAACTTAATTTATTCATTTTGTTTTTCTTAAAGTAGCCTTGTGATTTTTTTTTTTCCTTCAGAAATTCTGTGTTGTGTATTTACATTTTTCTGGTTATCAAATGAAGGCATAAAACATTAATTTAATCGATCATTTATCTTTTAATTATTGAAAATTAAGCAAACAAGATTTTTTTGGCAAACAAAGGGGATTTACTATTAAAATTAAAACATTGAAGAAATGTTTTGTATGATTATTCCTTGAAAAATAATGTTTGTTTCATTTTAGTAGTAGTAGTAGTAGTAGTAGTAGTAGTAGTAGTAGTAGTAGTAGTAGTAGTAGTAGTAGTAGTAGTAGTAGTAGTAGTAGTAGTAGTAGTAGTAGTAGTAGTAGTAGTAGTAGTAGTAGTAGTAGTAGTAGTAGGAGGAGGCTATGTACATTCTACTGAAAAATAGTTATAGGCACAATGTCTTCAAATCAAACCGGACTTTTATTTTGACGGGTTGCCGTGAATACCTTTACAGTTCTGTGTATGAGATATGACGCTAGTTTTACTCAAATCAAACGCTAAAATGCTCATGAAGTGACTCTTAGAGCAGTTCTGGAGATGTTGTTCATGTGTTTACGTCCTCATTTAGTGAGACGGCAGATGCTGAAATCACCGCGAGTGTCAGGCGCGCTTCAGTATATGTGTAGTAAATGAAACCGCGCGTCTGCGCCATTCATAAACAGAGACAAAAAATAATCAAATCAGAATTCCACATTATTTTCACTAAATAAACACATTTATTATAATTATAACACAGTAATGAAAAGCAATAATTACTAACATATATTTGTAACATTTTAGAGCATGTACACTAACCATCATTTATGTGTTATTCATCATCTAGCATACCTATTATGTCTACAAATGTTCTGTTCTCTTGTAATTGAGGCTGTATTGCACAGGTTACTGGTCTTAACATCCTACAAACCACATGTCGCCCACCTCTACAATCAGGTGACCGTAAAGCCAGGCCAGAGACTTTACATGGTCAATCAGCAGTATCCTTACAGAGTGAGGTTCACTGAGGACACATCCACACCCAGATCTGCCGCAGAGTTGAGCAAACCTTCAAAAAGAGCCCATCGGATGAGCTCTGAGGGGAACGCAGAGAAGATCAAGAGCCCTGCAAACACAGCATCAGACCATCACAAAATGTCAGACGATTCGCCTCCGCCAAAAAAGATACCGCCATCTGGATCTGATAAATCTGTGAGTTTCATTTGGTCGGTAATTTTCAATAATCTGCAATAAAATTCAAATTCTATTATAGTTTATACTTGTAATTAAGGACTTTTAGGGAGTAGTTTTGTATTGTACTGATATTTTTGCCTATTTTTAAATTTAAAACAAAGTTTCTGAGCTGGTTAGAGAAATTTTTAAGGTCTATATTAAAGTTTTTTTTTTTAAATGCTGACCTCTTTGTAAACCAAAACACTGCAAACTTTCTTGTTTCCCAGGAATCTGCTGGCCATTGGAGCCAAGGGCTTAAAGTGTCAATGCAGGACCCTAAGATGCAGGTATATGTTGTTCATTTCTTTTGAATCCTATGAATCAAAAACTAAAACTGACAATAAAGACTTTTACATCATTACAAAAGATTCCTACTCCAAATGCTGTTCTTTTGAACTTTCTATTCATTAAATAATCCTGAAAAAAAACACAAAAATAGCTGTTTGCAGCATTGATAAGAAATGTTTCTTGAGCAGCAAATCAGCATATTAAACTGATTTCTGAAGGATCATAAGACACTGAAGACTGGCGTAATGATGCTGAAAATTCAGCTTTATATCACAGAAATAAATTACATTTAAAATATATTAACAGCTGCCAGTTTTTATCCTCAGGTGTATAAAGATGACAGGGTTGTGGTCATCAAGGACAAGTACCCAAAGGCGCGGTACCATTGGCTGGTGCTGCCGTGGGACTCGATCTCCAGTCTGAAGGCTCTGCGCTCGGAGCACGTGGAGCT